ATACATCATTTAATTGTTGTTTTTAATTTGTATTTTATTTCATTTTGAAGACACTTTGAGACATTTCTTTTGGTGTGAAGTGACTTAAAAATGCAATTAATAGAGATGATAATGATAATAACAATAAAAATATGGGATGGTGACCTGAATTTTGCCTTCTTAAAGGGAAGGACAAGATCCACCAGCCCCAGCCCCATTTCATGTACAGAAGCTGACTGGACTGAGATTTAAAGCTTCCTTCATCAATGACAACAAGCAAACATCTTCCACTGAGCTCAGCCGGCTACTTTAGAGGGTGAATGTCAACCCATGTGGCACACAGAGAATAGTAGGGACATCAGGAAGAACAGTGAGGAGGCTACTGCTACCAGCTGCACACCCCAGAGCACCCACAGCCTGAGATAGCCACCTCACTCTGCATAATGGTTGGCTCAGCCCTGATAGGGCTGTTTTGGACATGTAGGTCCAAATCAGTGCTTGTCCTGATTCGGTCAGATATGCCTGAATGTCCCTCCCCTCTTCCCTGTGGTTCAGTTGACCCCTGGTCAATATAAAATGTTCCTCTCAAGTAGGAGGCCTGCATCACCTGTCCTTCTACAACCTTTAGGATGTTTTGTCTCCCCACTCAACCCAAGTCCCATATCCAGTGCTTTTTTTCAGGGGGGACGGACGCATATCCCTAAACATTTTGTGAATCTTTGTACTTTAGTCCATTGACTGTATTTATTTTCCCGATTTGAACTATAAAATGGTGATTTTCTTGAGTCAAAATGAGAGTGCCCCTAAACATTTTTTAAGGAAAAAAAGCACTGCCCATATCCCATGACATGTGTGCTTGATGTCTGCTGCTGTTGCTGAGTAGTTAGGAAGCCACTCTGTGGTGTTGGAAATGTGGATTCACGTCCCAGTTACCTTAGCTTGAGTCTTTCAAAAAAAACAAAAACAGATGGTGAATAGGGTTATGCTATAACTTTTCTCCTGCTGGTCCTCCAACCTCTTGTACCCAGTTTCCCAGCCATTTATGCCATAGCCATTATTGGGAGTGATGCTACTGCAGTGTCATTGTGTCTGAGTATTATGATGATGAAGCATGGCAACATCATTGGCTGCCCCTATCTATACCTGTCATGTGAGCACCATTTTGGCTCCATCTCTGATTGATGGACTGTTTCATAGTTTTGAGCTACACTGCGTCTACCAGTTTCCCACAGTTTTTGTTCTTTCTTTTTGCAATGAGTGCTGAGTGGGCATAGGTAAAGGTAAAAACTAAAGGATCCCTGGATGGTTAAGTCCAGTCAAAGGTGACGATGGGGTTGCGGTGCTCATCTCGCTTTCAGACTGAGGGAGCCGGCGTTTGTCCAGACAGCTTTCCGTGTCATGTGGCCAGCATGACTAAACCGCTTCTGGCCACAGCAGTACATATTTATCTACTTGCACTGGTGTGTGTTCGAACTGCTAGGTTGGCAGGAGCTGGGATAGAGCAATGGGAGCTCACCCCATTGCAGGGATTTGAACCTTCCGATCAGCAAGCCCAAGAGGCTCAGTGGTCCACAGCACCATACAATGGATGTCCCACCAGGATAATGGTGGCATCTCTTCCTCTACACACTCCCTCAGCATATTTGCAACTATAGGATTACTTAGTAAAAGGCCTTTTACTTTCTACAAATAAACTCACACAATTAAGTCCTTTGCAATTTCTTCGTCTTCTTAATTAAAGGAAGTGATTGAAATATGCAAATAAGATTCACCTTCCAATACTACAAATACCAGTGCATAACACTTTTCAATTATGCAAACTGGGCTTTTATTTTCCTTTAAACATAACTGCATATTAAACAGATAGTTATAATACTTTATATGAGTACAAGGAAAGGTATCATATATGTCAATACTAAAAATGTTTATAAAATGTTATAAATGTTCCTTTTTGTAGAATTCAAAGCAATATTATTAAATGTTAAAGAACAGAGAGAAGATATGAGGTTAGGGAAAGAAAAATATATCAAAGGGTATTTGTGTACTAAACACAAATAGCTAGAAGATTCAAGCCTCTTGCCATTAATTATTTACCTCAGTTCTTTACTGTCCTCTCCTGGAAAATCCACAGCCGAGTATGAGTGTTTAATTCCCTAAATCATTAGAGCAGAAAATGCCAAAATTCAAAGAACAATAATGACTTAGGGAGGTGTGATAATAAATGAACATTTAGGATTAATTGGAACATTTAGCATTGTCAACCCCTATTGATATTTAATTTGCAAAAGCTGGGGCAAAACAACCCTCTAGCATAGTGCTTTTCAAACTTTTTTCTCTGGGCCACACTTTCAGAATAAAAATTTGCTAATGCCACACAATTTTTTTTTATTGATAAGAAATACATTGGAAAACAAAGAGAAGCAACTCCTAGCAGTGCTTGATTTATAACACAGAACACAACTACTTTAAAATGCCATCACGGGCATCCATAAAGTAATGAAACAATGAAGCTACATGAGAACATGATTCATTCCCAAAATATAATAAAAAATGTACAGCCTGCTACATATGTACCTTAAGTATATATACAAACTCAGTGTGGGTTTGCTTTTGACTGGTATTCTCAGTTATAATAGGTCTAACTGGAGACAAACAAACCGTCATCTCCTCAACAACATAAAGAAGCCTTTCTCTTTTCTGAGCTTCCATATTTGTCAGAGTTGACAATCCCTGTTCACAACAATAGATTGAGGAGAACTGTAGAACTGGGGCCGGATCTGGCCCAATCGCCTTCTAAATCCGGCCCGCAGACGGTCCAGGAATCAGCGTCTTTTTATATGAGTAGAATGTGTGCTTTTATTTAAAATGCATCTCTGGGTTATTTGTGGGGCATAGGAATTCATTCATTCCCCCCCATAATAGTTCAGCCCCCCACAAGGTCTGAGGGACAGTGGACCAGCTCCCTGCTGAAAAAGTTTGCTGACCCCTGCTGTAGAAGATTAGCCAATGTGCTTGAAACCCTCAGCAACTAAATAACTGGGGTGGGTAAGGGGCATGGGATGTATTGGGGTGTATGGGGGAGGTACTGGATTCCAAATTCTTGCATTCCCTGAACACTGTCCCACCCACGCACCTACCCTGCCAAAGTAGAAAAAACTATGTCAGCCTTGAAACTGGTGTCATTCTTTTCCCTCCCATTGAAACCAAGGGAAGGAGATTTTTAACAGCAAAGGGGAAAGAAATGACCCTTAAACTTCTCTCCTGGCTGATGCAAGCCAAGCAGCGAGTGGTGGATCCTCTTCCATGGACTCTTCCCCGCTCCCGCATCAGATCGCTCTGTCTACCATTATTTTTATTTATTTCCTAAAATTTGTATGCTGCTTGATTGTAGAAAACCTGAAGGTGTTTTACAAAAAGGATAATGGTCACTAAATATTTTACAACCTCAGTTGAAAAAATATAGGAAGTTAAAACCACAATAGAAAACACTGAAACAATTCAAAAAGTAAACGGACTTTCTAAACATCTGGATAAAAAGGTAGAGGTAAAGGGACCCCTGACCATTCGGTCCAGTCGTGGCCGACTCTGGAGTTGCGGCGCTCATCTCGCTTTATTGGCCGAGGGAGCTGGCGTTTGTCTGCAGACAGCTGTGGCCAGCATGACTAAGCCGCTTCTGGCGAATCAGAGCAGCGCACGGAAACACCGTTTACCTTTTCGCTGGAGCGGTACCTATTTATCTACTCTCACTTTGACGTGCTTTCAAACTGCTAGGTGGGCAGGAGCAGGGACCAAGCAACGGGAGCTCACCCTGTCGTGGGGATTCGAACCGCCGACCTTCTGATCGGAAGCCCTAGGCTCTGTGGTTTAACCCACAGCGCCACCCGTGTCCCTAAACATCTGGGTAGGCTTGTCTAAATAAAAATGTCTTCAGCAGGCACCAAAATGAATATAGTGAAGGTGATTGCCTGACATCAATAGGCAGGGGCTCCAAAGTGTGGGTGCCACCACGTTAAATGATGAAGTTCTTATAGCTGCATTATTGCAACTTCCACTATTTATAAACCGCTTTATAGCAATAATTTCCTTGGTGGCATACAAGCTGAAAACAATAAGGACGTTAGAAATCACATTTACATAGGATTCGATTCAATCAAAACAGTTGTAAAATCAAAACATGAGCAAAAATAAAAACTCCCTAGCACTATGCAACTATTAAAACAGGAAGAAAAGAAGCACATCAAATCAGAGAGCTAAAACAAGTAAAACCACAGCATTTTAAAAGTTTAAAAGGACCGGGAAAAGAAAGAGGTTTTTGCTGCAGCCAAAAAGACAGTGCCTGGTGGGCCTCTTTATTTTAGTAAAAGCAATTGGGACTACTTTTAATTAGAGAATTCTGCTTTAAAAACAACAGGGAAATGGTCTGGGAAGAGGAGGAATGAGAGGCCCTGACTGTTGCAGGTCCCTCTTCAATTCTGTGAAGAAAAACAGTTATGGGGACTCGATATACAGATTTGTCTGGCAACCAATTCCTGTTGCCAAGCGCAGCTGTATATCATTTCTCCTCCATCCAAAACACTGTGTGTTATGTACTGAAGTTCTCACCCTGGGCCAGCAGGGGGATACTGTTGATAGTTTTCACTCAGGTCCACGTCAGTTATTTTAGGCGGGAAACCCTGGGTTGTTGTTGCTACAATGTTGACAGCCGGCTGCCTATAAAAGCAGGCCGGCTGAGCTGTTTGCTGCTCAGTTCTGTTCCAGCTTACAAAATAAAGAGCTGCTTTGGAGAAATCGCTGTGTTGTCTGCTGTGTCAACCCACAACTTAACACTGGCGACGAGGATGGGATCGAAGGACATCAGAGCACAGCCAGATGCAGCCAGCCTCTGAACTGAGCTGAATCACTGAGCTGAATCACAGAGCGAAATCACTGAGCGAAATCACTGGACAGAACCAATTCAGAGCTGACTGTTCTGGCTAAAGCACTGTGTTCCATCCATCGCCCTTCACGCCGGCATCGGAATCATGGCTTCACTTGTGCCTCTACCGCCGTTTGCGCCAGCCTCTGAATCGTGGGACTCCTACCTCGCTCGGTTCGACTGCTACCTCCAAGCCAACGAGCTGACATCAGTATCAAATGAATGGAAGTGGGGCCTATTCCTCAGCCTCTATGGGCACTGCGAGTTCCGAGACTTAGACGATGCCCTGATGGATCGAATCGTCTGCGGGGTCTGGGACATCCATCTGCAACGGCGTCTCCTCGCCAAGCCAGGCCTCACGCTACAGAAAGCCATTGAGGAGGCTGTGGCCTCAGAAGCTGCTCAACGCTCCGCCCAGGAGATCCGCAAATCCAGCAGCCCATGTCTTGCTAGGAAGCCAGTTCCAGTGCATCATGAAGAGGCCAGCAGCGATGAGGCATCCTCCAGTGAAGACGATGATGTGCACCAGACAAAGCGGGAGCGCAGGAAGTTCCAACAGAAGTCCAAGGGCCAACCGGAATGTGCCGGCTGCGGAGGCAACCATTCCCGTGCCAAGTGTCGATTCAGAGACGCCATCTGTAGGAAGTGTTCCAGAAGGGGCCACATCACTAAGGTCTGCCGATCGGCTCCGTCTGACACCCCCCCTTCACTGACTCGCAAGTCCAAGTCTTCACTCCAGTCTGCCAAGGAAAGCTGTTTTGCTCTCACCAACTGCCGCTGCCCGTCTGGAACCACGATTGGCCAAACCGACTCGCCTACGTGACGCAAGCTGAACGTCACGGTGCTCATTGAAGGAGCTCCATGTGACATGGAGATCGACACTGGGTCTGCCCTGTCCATCGTGTCTTGGAGCACCATCAAAAGACTGGTACCCAGAGTGTCCAAAAGGCAACTCGACTCTCACCGCGTACACCTGAGAGACTACCAGGGAAACGACATTCCCGTTGTAGGCGTTGGCCAGTTCCGGATCGTCTTCAAGGATTTTTCGGGCCTGCTCCGACTGGTGGTGGTTGAAGGTCAGCGGCCAAGCCTCCTAGGGCTAGACTGGTTTGATGCCCTCGACCTGGAAGTCACCGGCATCAACTGCATCTCTAATGCAGAGACTGAGGGTCTGGTCAAAGACTTTGCCGAGGTTTTTGACAGCACTTTGGGGCAATATACAGGTACGCCCATCTCCTTTAGCCTTGATCCACAAGCCGCCCCCATCAAGCTAAAGCCACGCCGGGTTCCCTTTGCTCTCAAGGCTAAGGTGGACGAACAACTGGACAAGCTGATCGCCCAAGGAGTTTTGGAGCCGGTTGACCACGCCAAGTGGGAAACCCCCATCGTCACACCTGTCAAGCCAGACGGGTCGGTGAGAATCTACGCTGACTACAAGTGCACAATCAACAAGGCACTTCAGCAGCACGCTTATCCGGTTCCTGTTGTCCAACACCTGCTGCATTCCCTGGGTGAGGGTAAGGTCTTCGCTAAGCTGGACCTTGCCCAAGCCTATCAACAACTGCCCGTCGATGATGCCACTGCTGAAGCCCAGACGATCGTCACCCACCGAGGGGCATTCCGTTGCCGCTGGTTGCAGTTCGGGGTGAGTGTGGCTTCTGGCATCTTCCAAAGCCTTATGGAGCGTCTCCTGCAAGGGCTTCCAGGCGTGGTACCATATTTTGATGACGTCTTGGTGTCCGCAGACTCACACCAGCAGCTGTTCGAGCGCCTCCGTGCCGTGCTGACCAGGTTCCAAGAGGCCGGGCTCAAGGTAAAGAGGGAGAAATGCCAGATCGCCGTTCCACAGGTAGAGTTCCTGGGCTATCTTATCGACGCCTCCGGCCTTCACCCGACCACATCCAAGATCCGCGCTATCCAGCAGGCCCCCATCCCAAAGAACAAGACGGAGTTGCAGGCGTTCCTGGGGCTGCTGAACTTTTATAACATGTTCCTGCCCCACAAAGCCACGGTGGCTGAGCCTCTTCACTGACTCCTCAGCACAAAGACGCCTTGGTCCTGGGGTCATCGGGAGACGGCGGCCTTCAACGCGGTCAAGGCTCTCCTTTCATCGGACAGTGTGCTGGTACAGTACAGTGAATCCAGGCCGCTGGTCCTTGCCTGCGATGCCTCACCTTTTGGCATCGGCGCTGTCCTTAGTCACTGTTTTCCAGACGGAAGAGAAGCACCGCTCGCCTACTTTTCCAGGACGCTATCTCCGACGGAACGGAATTACAGCCAGCTCGACAAGGAGGCACTGGCACTTGTGGCTGGAGTGAAGAGGTTCCATGAATACCTCTATGGCAGGACTTTTGACCTCATCACTGACCACAAGCCGCTCCTGGGCCTCCTCGCCGGTGATCATCCAACTCCACCGGTCCTCTCGCCGCGCATGCTGCGATGGACTGTTTTCCTGGCTGCCTACCACTACCGGCTCGTCCATCGACCGGGGAAATTGATGCGCCATGCCGACGCCCTCAGCCGTTGCTCTCTTCCAGCGTTTGTGGAAGACCCGGCTCCAGCTTCATCGCTCCTCCTGATTGAGGATCTTGCGGCAGCGCCTGTATTGGCTGCCACTGTGGCCTCCGCATCTGCCCAGGATCGCACCATCAGCCAGCCGTGTGCTCAACTGGGTGTGGAGCGGGTGGCCACAAGGGCCTTTTGCATCGGAGTTCCAGCCCTTCGCAACCAGACAACATGAACTCTAGGCTCATCGTCGCTGTCTGCTGTGGGGAGACCGCGTCGTGATTCCCCAAAGACTTTGTCAACGCGTCCTGGAGGCTCTGCACGTTGGCCACCCGGGAATTGTCAAAATGAAGGCGTTGGCTCGGTGTTACATCTGGTGGCCTAACATGGACGATGCCATCACTGCCTGGGTGTCCGCCTGTCAAGCGTGCCAAGAATCGAGGCCTGCACCACCGGCAGCTAAGGGACACACCTGGGAGACGCCAAAGACACCCTGGTCGAGGATGCACATTGATCTGGCTCGCCCCTTTCACAGCCGGACCTTTATGGTAGTGGTGGACACCTATTCCAAATGGCTGGAGGTGGCCCTGATGCCCTTCACCCCTACCGAGGCCGTCATCCGGGTGCTGCGAGGCCTGTTTGCGACGCATGGGTGTCCTGATGTCCTTGTCTCCGACAACGGACTGCAGTCCACGTCAGGCACTTTTGAGCGGTCTCTTTTGGGACTGGGCATCCGCCATGCCCTAACGGCACCCTTTCATCCATCCAGCAACGGGCAAGCGGAGAGAATGGTGCGCTCGGCAAAAGAGGCACTGGCGCGCCTGGACCAGGGAGACTGGCACGAGCGGGTCGCCGAATACTTGTTCGTGCAACACATCACCCCTCATGCGACCACAGGGCGGAGTCCTGCTGAACTGCTTATGGGCCGCCGCCTCAGGTCACCGCTCGACCGGCTGCACCCGGACTTTGCCATGGCCGAACCCCAGGCTGTGCCAACGCGCCACGGTCATTTGTTGCAGGAAACCAGGTCTTTGCCCAGAACTATGTGGGGGACATTCCTTGGGTGCCAGCCACAGTAGTGGGAGTCATTGGACCTCGCTCGTACCAGGTGGCACTCAAAGACGGACGCTTGTGGTGCTGGCACATAGACCAGCTTAGGCGCAGGGTTGGGGACTTGGACACTACTGTGGTGCCCCCAACTGCGCTTGTGGCTCCAGAAGAGACACTTACAGATGGCGAGGTTCCACCTACACCTCCCTCGCAAACTGCCAGCGTGGAGCCGAACCAAGCCGCTTCAGAGGGTCTGCCAGACTTACCACAGACTCAGACCACTCCACTTGCGGAGGCTCCACCCACAGCAGCGGATCCAGGGGATTTGGTTTCAACGCCACCTAGGGTCGCACCACAGCCTCAGCAAGAATTGGGTGGCCCCCCGGACTTGGCTACCAGTCCCCGGCAGTCTGGCAGAGTTTCCAAGCGCCCAACTTATCTAAAGGACTATGTTGTTGGACATGTATCACTGTTGGTCTAAGTAGGGAAATGTAACCGATATGCTTTTGTGCCTAATTGAACCATTACGTGTAGTGCTGTATATAAGGAAACCATTACGATTGTAACTAACGCCTTATCTCGGTGGGGAGGGGTGTTATGTACTGAAGTTCTCACCCTGGGCCAGCAGGGGATACTGTAGATAGTTTTCACTCAGGTCCACGTCAGTTATTTTAGGCGGGAAACCCTGGGTTGTTGTTGCTACAATGTTGACAGCCGGCTGCCTATAAAAGCAGGCCGGCTGAGCTGTTTGCTGCTCAGTTCTGTTCCAGCTTACAAAATAAAGAGCTGCTTTGGAGAAATCGCTGTGTCGTCTGCTATGTCAACCCACAACTTAACACTGTGGGTGTCAATACAACACAAATATAAAATGCAGCATCCATGGTGGTTTACCCTCCCTAGAGTTAGCTTGATATATGAAACAACTGGATGGAGCTGGGATTTGACAGTTAACACTGTAATGGTCAATGCAAATGATTTCCTCTCACTGGTGATTTAATGGAACAGTAGTCTGAAATGTGCAAGTACAATTAATAAACATTGTATCCCACAGCTGATACGTTCAGTTCTCCTGCAATGAAATATTTCTTTTCCTCTTGAGTTTAGCAGATTACCATATTCTGTTAATTACACTGGTGTAGTTAATTAACTCTCCTGCCAACCTAGCAGTTTGAAAGGACGTCAAAGTGCAAGTAGATAAATAGGTACCGCTCCAGCGGGAAGGTAAACAGTGTTTCCATGCGCTGCTCTGGTTCGCCAGAAGCGGCTTAATGCTGGCCACATGACCCGGAAGCTGTACACCAGCTCCCTCAGCTGATAAAGTGAGATGAGCATCGCAACCCCAGAGTCATCCACAACTGGACCTAATGGTCAGGGTCCCTTTACCTTTGCCTTTAGTTAATTAACTGCCATTCCTTTTGTTTATGATGGGGTCCTTAAACAGATCTCTGATTACTAGGTTTAAAATGTGACTTAGGGTGCTTTCAGATATCAGTGGTGGTGGGGGTTTTTCTTCCAAAGTTATAGAAATGCCATGATTCCTTATACTTGATGCAGACTTTCATTTTGCTGTGTAAATGCAACAGGCATACTGGACTTTTGAGATTATCAAAGTGTTACAGTGAATACAGGGTAACGATTGTGCTGGCTTTTGGACCACAATTACTGATTCCACCTATTTGTTGGAACCGGGGATGGAAAGCCAGCTGGCTTGGCCGCAGCCAGAGCATCTCCCTTCTCAGCCTTGCCGCTGCAGAGATCCATCAGTCATCCTCCTCTGACGTGCATCCGCGACTCCAGCTATTGAGCAGGAGCACACATTACTCGGCTGTGTAAACTGCACAACAGATCAGGCTTGAGGCGTGGATACTATACTAAGCTGTACATTTATTATGCATAAATCAGGACAAAGAAAAACATGGCTTCTCTCCTTGTCGTTCTTCTCGGAGAGAGAAAAAACAAAAGCAACACATAACGGATGTTACAAAGCTCCAACAATCTCTGCTGGAATGTAAACAGACATGTGACATGGAGTAATCCACACATCTGCAGCGCGGGAGGAGTGTAATCCCAACACTATTGTCGCTTTGCTTCTTTTCCCAGCACCAGTGACCTAGGTTGGAAGTGTGTGCCAGCAAATAGTGCAATAGAGTGTTAGGGGCTGAGCATAAATGAGGACAACAGTTTGTATACTTCATCACTGAATTTTTGTTTTATTCCCCCCCCCCCATGTAAATGCATTCATACAAAAGGAAGGGGGAAAATGAAGGT